TGACCTTGGAAAGTTGGGAGTTGAGGAATTGCACTGGCCCTTCTTTTCATTGTGATTTGTTTTCTCGTGAGTATTAAGGCAATTATTATGTTTGATATTGATGTTAAGGCATATTAGCGTGTAATAAATATGTGATAATGGTGTTATGCTATGTTTTGTATGTTTATTTTGTCATAGGAATATGTGGATGTTCTACCATGTGGCCAGCGTTCTAGCGGTTGGACATCATTTTATATTCATTTGTTGCCGAGTCGTTTACTCTTTGGAGCCCATAAATTACAATAAAAGGTGTGTTGATATTGTTTAATGGATGTATTAAGGAATGTTTTTCCATGCGGCTTTTATATGTGTACTCTCTTCTTAAAGGAAATGAATTATGTTTACTTTGTCCTTGAGATGTATTGGGCTCATTTCAATTAGATTGACGATGTTGATGTGTTTTAGATTTTCTTGACTTGTATTTATGTATTTATTTATTTCAGTTCACGCTAATAAACGAAGTGACAGCAGTCGGACTTTTTGTTACTCCCCTGGGCAGAGGCAGCAATAGTGAACGTTTATTGACTGCTTGAAGACCCCATTGAACTCTAGCGACTGGCGTTCATCCTTCTGCTCTCGTGGAAAGAAGTCTACCAACGGACGCCTACACTGTAAGACCTAATCTGTTGTGACTTGTAATTTACCATTTGAAACGTGGTTTTGTTTAAAGAGTATTGTTAGTTTACAGCCATGGCATCAGTAGAAGCGTGTCGTAAGGTCCGTTCAATTGAAAAGACACAGGTCACAAAGAGAGTTGATGAATTTAGAAAGCTTATGGTTGATGATTCTTATCATGAAGTTGTAGAGAAATTTGATCTGATTAAGTGTATTTTTCATGACTTTATCCCGGCACATAATGAGTATCATGATACTCTTGTTGATGAGTCTGAAATTGTGGCAAGTGAAAAATACTTTGAAGAAGTTGAGTGTAATTATATTAATCATTTGCAAAGTGTTCGTTACTATATACAGAGAGGCTCAACAGATGTAGCTCCATCAATGACTAAATCTTGTGCAGAGTTTAGTCAGGTTTCTTATGTAAAATTGCCTCCAGTGCCACAACCTGATGTTTTTAGTGGCAAGTCTCAGCTATACCCTTTGTGGAAGGCCTCCTTTAATACATTAGTTGGAAAGCATAATAATGGTGTTGATGAGATGTTTTACTTAAAACAGTACACAACTGATGAAGCTCAGAGTACCATTGAAGCCTTATTCCTTTGTCATGACAAATCATCATATAATGCTGCACTTGATATACTTGAAAGGAAGTTTGGGAATCCATCATTAGTAACAGCTGCTTATCGTAAGAAATTGGAAAACTGGTCAAAAATTGGGGAACGTGATAACAGAGCACTTCAGAGATTTGCAGATTTTTTGGCTCAGATATGTGTTGCCAAGAAATCCTACAAATCATTGGAGATTTTGAGTGAACCAGCATGGAGGAGATGTTGACAGCCTGTCCTTTGGTAAATCTGCTATCTTTTACTCTTTGTAATGATATTATCTAGAAGCCTTGGTTTCGAATTTCATAACATGTCAGGCCACGGCCCTGATGGTGTTTTTTATGAAAATACTGGATCAGTAGCTTTGATAACTCATGGTCAGAGGGGAAAACAACTGGATGCTTGACACTATCAGACAAGGTAGAGTGTCGAATTCAATGCGAGTTAAGGCATCCTCATCAAGAAATACATCCAATTTAAAGAGCTTACTACTACGAGATACGGTTCTCTGATTGGATAATGAATCTAATTCTCTAGCAAAGTACAAACGTTAAACCATAAGAACAATGCAAGTCTTGGCTTTTTCAAGTTCTACTTGTAAGTCTCCCTTTCTCTTTCCTTCTTTGCAATTATCAATGAATCTAAGAATCCAAGCCTATAACTTTACTAAACCAATTCTGGAAGGTGGGTATATGTTTTACTCTTGAGACACTTTACCTGTACTGCTCAAACACTTCACTTCTCCATCATCAGGTGATACAAATGGACTTACTGGTTTAATGTTCAAGTTAGGTCTTCTGAGGAAGTCAGGTCCTTGCAACCAACGTTCTGACCACACCGCACGAGATCCATCATATGCAGGATTTTCAGTGCTTTCAACATGAAACCAGTTTTCAGGACTCGACCCATCGTGTATTCTTTGCACTCTATTAGCAACAAAGGTCTTGATTCTGACAGATTCATTCTTAATTTACCCAAGTACAACAGTACTGTCAGTCCAAAAGTACTCTGTGTACTGGATTGGTAGTTCCTTCTGTAATTTAGTTGCTAGTTGCACACTCAAAACTGCTGCAATCAACTCAAGACGTGGAATGCTCAAGACTGATTTAAAAGGAACAACTTTGCACTTCCCTATCAAGAAACTAACTCCTATGGCTCCATGTTCATAAAAGGTTCCAAGATAAGAACAAGCTGCATATCCAGTAGAACAAGCATCGGCAAAATTATGAATTTCCTGAGAAATTACCTTCTTGTTTGTACAAACATGACGTGGAATGATAACCTCACCAATTTGACCAAGATAACTGCACCAGTTCTCCTATTTCCTCAACAATTCCCCAGTCACAACTAAATCCTATTCATAATTTTCATGACATTTGATGCAACAACTTAGCCTGATGTAAAGTTGGAGATATCACACCGAGAGGATCGTAAAATCTAGCAAGAGTGGATAGTAAACCTCTGCGAGTCATCTTTCTTTTAAATCTAAAGGGAGATGAAGATTAACTATCTTGACCTTCTAAATCAAACTTATCGTTTTATGTAAGTTCTGTTCTTTAACTGGTGCTCTGTCTTCAATGGGAGCACTATCCATAACCTCTTGTGAGTTTGACATGATCTTGTGGCACATACAGCCACCTTCAACAAGTTTCTGTGTTTTTAACATTCAAGGCACATGCAGAGTTTATAGAAGACAGAAGTAACACCATCATCAACATAAAAGTTCTTGTAAATAAATTGTGAAGCTTCAAAGGTATACTTAGAACCATGATCTCTAACAATCTTTCTTAGGGCATATGTGGCCACTCCAGGAGAAGAAGTGGCAACAAACAAGTGTACCCGCATTCTACATTCAACAGGATCAAACTTAAAATTATCATCCTTCCACCATAAATATCGCAAAAAGTCTTTATCCATGGGAGAAACCAAAAACGGATGATACACTTTTTGAATATCACAAGTGAGAGCAATGGGTTCAAGACGAAATCTGAACATAATTCCTAACAACGAATTCATCAAATTGGGACCTTGCAACAACAGGTTATTCAGACTAACACCTCGAAACTCTGAACTGCAATCAAAGACTACTCTGGTCTTGTTGTTGAACACCATGATGCTATAGTTCGATTGATGGGAGATACATCACAATATTATATATAATATATATATATATATATATATATATATATATATATATATATATATATATATATATGTATGCATGTATGTAAACATACATATTATATATATATATATATATATATATATATATATATAATATATAGAGAGAGAGAGAGAGAGAGAGAGAGAGAGAGAGAGAGAGAGAGAGAGAAGAAAGAGAGATACAGAATCACCGTAATCTTAAGAAAAAAATAAAGTCACAGAGAAAAGAAAATACGGGTCAAGATAAAGCAGAAAGCACAAGAGCCGAAAAGAGAACGGAATGGACAACGCTAACCACGAGACTATCATAAAGCATAATGTAAAACTAAAATTACAGAGAATACACAGTGCATTTAAGACGAAGTAGTAAAATAAATGGAGTAAAAGAGATTAAACTGCACTAAACAAGGAAATAGACCTGATAGACCTGCAGTGAATATAAAATGAAAGAGTTAATATGAAGAAAAAAGGTTGGTTTAGACGGGAGAGAATGATAAAGCGACGATCATGGATATAAGTTAACTGAACTGAGGGCACGACAACAAAGAAAACGGAAGGCTTAAGGACAAACTAGAGAAAAATGAGGTGAGATCAAACGTGAAATCATAAGCAAGGATCAACGCAAAATATAACTTGAGAGGAATAATAATGAGGAGAAAGATTCGCCGTGAAAACGAGAAAAATAGTATGTGAAATTTGTCGAACTAATAGCAAAAGGAACGACGAAGAGAAGAACAAGAAAACACACGAATTAGGTCTTTTTGTTATAAAAGAAGAAGCAATATATCGAAAAGGTCTTCTGTATGTTCGCGTTAATTTTTTTAATTATTATTATTTTTATTTTATTTTCATTTCTCCCCCTCCCTTCGTTGTTCATTTTGCAAGAAAAATAACGATTCATAGAAGATATAAGGAATGGTATACATGCTAGGAAAGAGGAAGATTTTGACAGCGAAGATACATAAGGCACAAGGAAGAGAAAATAATAATTAATAATAAACCAGTTCCATTTGCACGCTTATCTACTTTTTTTTTTTTTTTTTTTTTTTTTTTTTTTTTTTTTTTTTTTTTTTTTTTTTTTTTTTTTTACTCTGGAGTTCGATGTAGCTGAATTAATTAAAAGTGAATCTGCTACAATCACCAATGTTTGATGAGCAGCTCCCGGCAACGTAGATGTATTACGAAGGCCGAGGGAAAAATATGAAACGTTAAAACACTGATTTAATGGCGAGTGTAATCGCGAACTGTTTTTACTTCAGCCCACTTTGCCTCTGTTTTTTTACATACTCATTGCATTGACATGACTCAGTACAGGAGAAAATACAGTGAGACTTCTTTATTTGTCAGTCTCTCTCTCTCAACAGTAAGGCAATAATCTTTTCAAGGTATTTTATCAGGCAAAAAAATAAAATGTTTGGCATGAAGTCCGCAGTCAGCAAAATAGGTATCCAGTGGTATCCAGTATTTAGGTCTCACAGTCATATGACAAGATCTGAAGTACTTGTCGATTTTCTCCCTTAGCTAAGATACTTTTCATGATGAAGAGTAATTAATGACATCCAGAATCACACAAAACCTGATCAGTTGTTTATAATCTGGTTTCCTATCAGTAATTTGCCCAAGTTCGTGACTCAAGAGACTGGAAGTACGATCAGCTGACTCTGCCTGACTTTTATCCGAGGTTTATGTTGACAGAATGATTGGAGTGGAGTCCTCACCTGTGCTTTAAAATTTAAAAGGAATTCTCAAACCAGTGAGTTGGCTTCACACGAATCACTCGCTGGCACAACTATGCTAGGCTTAGTACCTTGTGGTCACGCGAATGAAATCAAAACTCACAATAGCATTCTTAAAGGCCGATCAAAGAACAGAATTATCTGAATGTGTTGATGTATACATATTAATTAATTAATACACACACGCATGTGTGTATGTGTGTGTGTGTGTGGGCGTAAGTTGTGGTGTCCATCAGGCCCATATTATTTTCATCAGGTTGAGACGAAGTTGCGAATCCCGAGCGTTACCTAGACTTCATCTATCGGGAGTCCTGGCGTTTATTTCTGATTTCATACAAATGCCCTTTTCTCGCGTCTTCCACGTAACCAGCGATGCCGTCAACTTTCTTCTGAACGGCTTCTCGTCCCGTACCAGAGGCGATTTTAATGTCATTGTCCACATACTTAGTGTCCGCCATGGATACGTTGGTTCGCTGTAATAACAGGAACCTTAAGGAGTGTATATATAAGGCCGGTCCTCGCTATTGTTGATGCTCTCCGCCTTCTGTGTGAGGTCGAAAGGGAGGTCATTGCGAGTATTGTTGCTTCATGGAAGACTGTATCATATACTCGACCTCATCTT